GATCCATTACACTTACCTATGGAATTTTAAAAACATATATACAAATATCAAATGTATCTTGCAAATAGCTTCCTAATACCTTTGAACAGCTCCACTTCTGAGGGTAACTTTTACTGTAATCATTTCGAGAATACGATCCCAATGATTCAGTGTTTTCCTGGGAATGAGGAGGCGTACTACAGGTCTAATAAGGTCTCCATTAGCAATCAGGCTGAAATAAAGCAAAGTAAAATAATTTGGAGGAGCATTTTAAACAAAACTCATCTGAAGTTAAGACACATCCCCCACACCCCACAAATGGTGGTTCACTAATTGAAAATTCTACTTACAAAATAATGTAGGGCTCCTGGAGTGATTTTCGAAACCGTGCTGACACAGTGATTCTACTGTGAGTAACCGGCTTGACCTGCAAGGTCAAAAAGAAATAGAAATTATTCAGTCTTTACACTGGGAAACAGCTCGCCTTGACCACCACCAGCAAAGGGGCAGCGTATCTGCAGAAGGAAGTTCTTGTTTATAAAACATGCATTTTATTCCATTCCAGCTTTACTTTCTAAAGAGCATACATAATTACTGCTGCCAGTTTATACACATGTTGAATAACAACCACAGCATAGTATACCACAGTGCAGCATGGCACAGCGTATGGTTTCCACTAAGAGGTCAGAATTGTATGAACATCTTTGGTGACAATTCTCAGCTGTTGTTCCTAGAGACACAAGACAACACTCCCAAAAGCTGTTCTTGCTTTCTTAGTCTTTACTGCTCATAACCATGGACCAGGCAACACCTTCTCTTTTTAACAATAAATGCCATTTCTAGGTCTCTCTGCTATTATGTAACAAGCAATTTTGCTCTTGTACGGGTCTTTACATCCAAATCCATCACTGATTTCTAAAGGCTGCTGAATACTATGCTCCTTTTAAGGGAATGACTCACAAGTGAGCTGAGCTGCAGATTTTTAGCTCTCAGAATAGGCTACTTAATTCTCAGCATTATTCCCTGTACTCCTTCGAACAGACATTGCATTGAGATCAGTCAGTTGGCTCAACATCAATGCCATTATACTGAATAGAAAGTTATGCAATATCACCTAGTTAGGATTCCCTATTGCATTTATAAACATACATTCATATTAAAAAAAAAGGATAAACCCAAACTTCAAAATCATTGTGAAGATTTTTCAAAAATTTTCCATAATTAGCAGATTAAAATAAGGTGTCAAACCCAAACAAACATTCAAAAGTCACAGTACATGCATTAACAAGTTGGCTACATTTCTGAAAAACACTATAAAAGCTTAAAGGATGAACTAGCCAGCATGCACAGAGATATGCTTTCAAACAGATATACAAAGTTTATTTAAACTGTCAATGTTCCAGTCACTATGTAAAGCAGTGTAATGACGTGATGTGTTGCAGCTTTATCATACTCTGTGCTAACTTAACCAATACTTCTCATTTAATTTATGGAAAATGATGTGGGCTCCAGTGCTTTAAGTCTGCATGGATTTTCACACAAATGCATTTAGTACTGACAGAACTGTTTTCCAGATCTTTCTCTTGTATATAATGAAAAAAAGGAAGAGAGGTGCTCAACCTACTACATATTTCAAACTAGCTGAAAATTATTATTAAAATATTCAGATACGACTTCCCACATAACCCAAAGAACCTCACACAGCAACTTCTACACCAAACACTTATTTTTCAGAGCATAACTTATTGTTTATGTCACCAAAATTTACTGAGTCTCTAGGAAGAAAAAGAAAACACACCTTAAACTGCAACATCCAAAAACATTTCTATTGGGCAAATAACCCTTAATGGCTTACAACAGCAATGTAAGCAATCTAATAGAAAGCTTCATACTATAGGAAAAATAAGGTAACTTTCTAAAGAGTATGCTACCAAAAGCTGAGGCAATACTAATTTACTTCTATAGTATCAGGTCCTAATATTTAGGCTCCAAACTCAGGTTGCATCCTAAATGGGAATGACTTAACTTAGGCTGCCCTTACCCTTCCCCGTGTAGCTGCTAGGTTCACATGCTAATCCCCTATAGAGTATTCAATATATAACTAGTAAAGCCTTATATCACTTTTCCTAAAAGTTGATTCCTTATCCATTCCTGATGCTCACTTACGCTGTTCATACCTATACTCAAGTGCTCACATACTCCAAACAGTCCATCAAACCAGGTTCTCTGATGCAGTCTGCAACTTTCAGATTTCAACGATTTACACTTTACTGAAAACAGTTAGAAAATATTCACTAAGCATAAAGGAGCCCTTTAGGTTAGTCCTAGGTGTGTCCAATTACTTAGTTCTTCCTGCAACCTGATGAAACCATTAATTTTGATGTTGGCTTCTCAGAAGGCCATGATGTTATTGCATACAGCCCAATCATCAGGGCCGCTGAGAAAAGAAGCAACCTGATAGATTTTAAGGGCCCATTTATTACTCAAAGGATTGTATTTCTGCCAATAATAGATAATGCGGCATCAGCTTGCAAGTCAGTCATTGGGGTTACTCTCTCAAGGAGTCATTAATATTTCTGGCAGCCTAACACGTCAACCTTGTTTTTAAACAAGCAAACTGCAGGGGACTGTAAGATGGGGCCAGTTTGAGCAGAGACTTAATATTTGTCTTTTCTACCTAAACATCGCCTAAACCAGAACAAAATGCAAACTTGCACTGCTTTGTTAAGAGTGTTTAAATCAAATGTACCTCCTGTATTAAAGATGAAAAAAACATGTCAGTGCAATTTGCTAATGTTACATTTGCTAATGTAATGCCAGAAAAGTCTGTGTGTGGAAACACTAAGATGACCATGACATTATTAAAACACAATATGTAGCACAGTCTATAACAAGACCTCAGTTTCTGGGAGCTTGGAAAAAAGCAGTCCAGACTAAGTTAAGCAGACGCTGTACCATTGTGGCCAGAATTCTCTGAAGAGTCTTTTGCCACACCCAATGTGAAGAGCAGAGGCAGGTACTGCATATTTTCTTGGAGTCCCACATGCTCTTAGGCAGATGTTTAGGCTATTGTCTGTCAGGAACAGGAGAGAGAACTAATGTCTTTGAGACTCCTTGCCTCCTGAATGCACGTTTTACACCGGATCTGTTTCAGGGGCCAAAAAAAAAACCACCACCCACCACACATCTCTCTATATTCATCCACAGGGACACTCTGATGCTGTAATGGAGAGAGAGGAAATGATAAAATAAGTATATAAATTATAAGAAAATTTTTAAAAACCCACACACCATAAAGAGGGATGTGCCTGCAGATGGAGCGTGCTGCAAAAGAGCTGTGTACAACACCTTTAAAATTAAAGTTGGCAAGCCTGCAGACATCCAAGTAACTGCAATATAGTATAATAAAGTATTCCACAATGCACAAGAGACAACTCTTACAGATGCCCAGTGTATGTTCTGGCTACAGCATAGTATATCAAGCTCTCAAGGTAAAGCAGCGAAAAAACTCAGCTCAAGCTACCCTAGCTTGCTCTGAAGCCACTCTTTTAAAAAAGTTTGCCTAGACCTATACTGCAGTGATTAAAAAAAAAAAAGAAAAAAGAAAATAGAAACAAACCAACCAACCACCCTATACACCATTCTTTACCTGACTGTCTTGTTCTCTTTTGGGCTTTTTGGGGGTTTTAGCTGGGTTTTTTGGGGAGGAGGGGATAGCACAGTTTTTGAGTTACAACCTCACAGAGTTTAAAACAACTTCTGTCTGACCAATGTTAAACTATTTATGCTTATGAAAAGCAAGCCACATAATTTCAATATACAGAAGTGTACATTAATAAAAGATGAAGTGCTCAGATACTGTAAATCAATCTAGTTACTTTGAAGTATACGGAGTTATGTCAAACCACCCCAGCGAAGACCTGAGCCAGGAGTTAATTAAAGACTACATGATTCTGCTCCTATTTTGTTTATCTGAGGTAGCACAGTGTTGCAGCATCTGGAATAGCCTGACCCATCTGGCACTGCAGAGTTACATATTTACAGCGATGTAGTCTTGGGTGAAAGTTTGTGCCTGCATTAAGAGATCAGCATCATGAGCCCACTAAGCCATTTATTTTCTTTTAATTTCACCAGCCATATTTTCAGCTGATGTAAATCAGCACATCCAATTTATTTCAGCAATTGTAAGCACATTTACATTAATCAGTGGTCTGGCTCCATTATGGTTTTATCTTTAAATTTCGTACATTTTTCAAGTTGCTTAAAAAGACCCATTCAAGGGCAGTTTCCATATCCTACTGACAAATGTCACCAACATTTCATAATTTGTGAGGAGATATTAATCTGAGGCATCACATGACAACATAGAGCAGCAACACAAAGCATTTAGGGGATGAAGGAGAAAGCATTCTATCAGTTGAAACTCAGAGGGAACTTTAAGTAAGCTGGAAGCAATCAGTCAAATGCGAATTTGCAAGGCAACAGGAGCTAAACACAGTTGGAAATACACCATGGGTGCCCCAGCAGTGTGGATCTTTCTGGCTCCAGAGAGCAGTTGCCATCTGTGAAATAACTCTGCTAAGTACCTTGCAGAGTCTGGGAAAAACAAAGCAGCTAAACTCAATGCAGGCTATGTTCTGAAAGTGGGGATCAGTCTGCAGTATTTGAGATCTCTGTAAACACTTGAATGTCAGAATACATTCTAAAGGGAGTCTCTTAGAGCTCAGCTTTCACCTTCAGTCATAATTCATTGTGATTGAATTTTTGTTGCTGAATGTTAGACGCAGATGAGTGCCTCAAAACATTCCTTTCACAATACAAAGCCAAGATGTAGATCAACATCTAACTGAAACATGGTAAAAAAATCCACACCTTCACAGCTGTTTTATAACAACATTCTACACATTTTTCCCTTTTATTAAAAAATATGCTAAATATTAACAAAATCTAACAAATACACACAAAATATTTAGCAAACACACACAGCACGTTGCACAATCTACTTTCTGTACTTACATCTTCCACTGTTGACTGCTGGCAACAAAAACCAAAATGATCAGCAGCCAAACCATTACTTCACATACACTATTAAATGTGTGCATATGAAAAATAGTTTTTGTAAGAAAACCATTTTGAATTAGTATGTGCATATCCACATGTGTATACAGGTATATAATATGTGTGTATGCATACATATCTACACCAATTAAATATAATTTTCATACAAGAATTTCTATTATGTTTATTTATGTTCAGCTGACCACATGAAAGACTGAACATCAACTAAAACCATGTTACTCCTTTCTAGAACACTACAGATGGACTTGCTTATGCAATGCTTCTAATTCCAAGAAGTGTTACATTGGGAAAAGAACCTTACAAACATGGTATTACAGGGAAATCATCACTGAGAATGGCTATTTATAT